AGTTGAACCAAGAACAACAATTTTGACTTTTTGTTAGACCCCGATGAACACCAAACTGATTTGCTCACCGATCATACAGTTGCATTCAATCGATTTCAAAATCGATATACAATTTTTTTTATCCAAAATCGAAATCATCGATCATTCCGATTTCAATCATCGACAAACCCAATTAAAAGTCAAATATAGACTTTCAAAATTGTCCATTCTTGTTATTACATCTTGATTCAGAGATCCTCCAGTTAAGATGTAACATCGATTCATCCTTCTTATTTCAATCAAATTTGTGAGAAATTTGTGTTAGTCACGGATCAGAAGAAAAAGAAAGGTCAAAACTGGATTTAGATATTGAAGAATATGATCTCGAAATGAAAAGAAAAGGAAATTTTGATGAACAATGTACTGATTGTCAAGTTGGGCTCGAAGTAATGAATTATGAACAGTAATTGCATTTGATTTGGACACCAAATCAATATCAAATGAATAAATGTTGGATTGGGATTTTAAAATTTTTGTTCAAACAACTCATGATTTGTTTGTGCTTGATCTAAAAAAAATTTGGTGGATCACCAAGGGGTTGAAATGGATTAGATCCAACGAATCAAAGCGATCAAAAAAAAATGAAAAATGCAAAGCACGAATCGAAATCATTGACGTTTTGGAATCCATTTGAGAATTTGAGGTACCTTTTTGATGAATCGAGTTCCATTTTCAACGAACGAATCAAATTTAAAAGATCTTGGTTCTTTTGTTAGAACGAGAAAATCTTCAATTTGAACATTATATCACCCACTATGCGAGATGTACAACTCGTTCTTCGTGTTCTTCGTGTTCTTCAACGATCCAAGAACATCTTCAAAAGAACCACCAACACATTTGAGTTTAGATTTCAAATTCAATGCAACCTTTGGAGATTGTTGTTTTGGCACCCAAATTTGTTTCACGGATTTTAGATTCACAACAACATTCGACGATTTTTGTGAATAAACCCGCTTGTTTTTGCGTTTAATCTTCTTCTTCTTTTTCTTTCTCATCTTTTTGCATCTTGAAGATTTGATTTCATGAACAAATCCACTTTCCATAACTTTAACTTTGTGAGTTTGAATCAAATCTTTTGGAGTTTGATACTTGTGAATTTCTTGGATTACCGGCTTTCGATAAGGAATCATTCCTTCAAACGAATCACAAGAACATACAATATCATCGGTTTGAACTCCAATTGAGCAAAAAACTTTTTCATCTTCATGAGAATCAACTTGAACTCCTTTTTCTTGAACATCAAGAACATCACATTGAACTCCATTGTCAAGAACTTCAACAAACTTAAGAGCACGAAGATCATTTGGGTTTTAATTAAGAGAAATGTATTTCTTATTAAAAAAAATCTCTTTCTTCTCCTTCTTTTTTATTTCTACTACGGACTAATATGGACAAGGCAATTTTATTCAACCATACAATCTTACAAAGTGGTTGAAAAACCAAGCTTCCATTATCATCCTTCAAATATCCATAAGAAACCATATTACCCCATGAAATCAATTTGCTTAACACAATAACCCATAAAATTGATCTTCATTGACTTTGTATTTGATATCTTCAACGATCACAATCCAAGAATCATATGGCAAATCCACCATGATCATCAGAACTTGAAATTTTCAAGAGAGAAAGTGATTTTGAATGGGTTTTCTAGAAAAAGAAAGCAAAAATCACTTGAATTCTAGTGAAGAAAATCGAATTATGAATAGAAACAATGATGAATTCGATTTCTAGAATCCAAAAAACTCTCTAAATCACGAAGATCAAAACACAATGAAGAATCACCAAATCAAGATTGCCATCAAGGATCAATTCTTGATCCAATCAATAACACCCGCTCTGATACCAATTGTAGTGGTGTTGATTATGATGGCATGTGCGGAATTAGAAAAGATCTAGTGAATCATCATGTAAACTCAAGAACACAAGGAATAAATAAATCTGTGTAAGCTCATATTAGATCTAGAAAGAATATACAAATGGGTTTGTACAAATTTCTCTCTCTAGTCTAACACTCCAAAATGATCATCCTAAGTATGAGTGTCACTCACTTCCTATTTATAGGAAATACAACTCATTTACACATCAATAAGGGTAAGCCACATCCAAGCGTGACTTTGCACCCTAACATAACTAAACGCACCATCAAGTGAGTCATGACATCGAAAAATGAAGGAGGGAAAGTACTTCTCTAACAAACATAATGTTAATACGATGTCACTTTGCAACTTTACTACACAACTCATTGAAAAAATGACACAGGCTTAGGATTGTTCTCCGCACCTTCACATCTAACACCCCTTTGATTGCAAAAGGGAGAAGTTGTTGCATTAGTACATGACAATCATTAGACTTCAAACCATTCATCTTTGAAACATCATCCGACACGAGACTCTTGAAATTAGAGCAATACCCATGAGTAACTTTTATGTTAGACAGGGTATCATAAAATAGATGTTTCTCTGCGGAATTCAATGTGTACTTGGCAGGCGGAAGCCAATGTCGATCCCCTTTTGTTTGAGGTCGTAATTCAGTCTTAATGCCCAACGTTTCAAGATCTTGTCGTGCTTTTAATACATCCTTCATCTTGTGAGGTAAATTAAACGCTGTCCCATAAAGACTGTAGGTCACATTTTTTTCTATGTGCATGAGATCTAACTGATGGTGTTTCCTTCTTTGACGCTCCCTTCTTTGACTTTATCTTCTTTAACTTTATCTTCTTTGACTTTATCTTCTTACCCCATGTAGTCTCAAATCCCGCCAGATAGTCATAAATATCTTCACCTGATGATGGTTGTGGCATAAAATCGTGCTCCTGTTGATTGTTGAAATGTTTTTTTCTTTTACGAAAAGGATGTTCAAGTGGTAGGAATCTTCTATGCCCAATGAAGCATACTTTTTTGGACTTTGGCAACCATTGTGAACAAGTATTCTTTGAACATATTGGACAAGCATAATAACCATTGGCAACACACCCCGAAAGATTACCATATGCGGGAAAGTCACTTATAGTCCAAAGTAATATTGCTCTTAGATTGAAGTATTCTTTCTTATAAGAATCAAAAGTCTCAACGCTAGTTTCCCACAAGAGCTTTAGTTCTTCTATCAATGGTGCCAAGTAGACATCAATATTGTTACCAGGTTGGTTTGGCCCGGATATCAACAGAGTCAACATCATGAATTTTCTTGACAGACACAAATAAGGGGGTAGATTATATGTTATTAGGATAACCGGCCAACAACTATGCTTGGAACTTAATGACTTGTAAGGATTGATACCATTAGTAGACAAGGCTAATCTAAGATTTCGTTTTTCTTGTCCGAATTCTTTCCATGTGGTATCAACAAGCTTTCAAGAAGGGGTATCGCGAGGATGAGTAAACTTCCCATTATTGACCTGACCTTGTGCATGCCAAGTTAAGTCATGTGCAATTTGTGGTATTGAAAACATTCTTCTAAATCTAGGGATGATAGGAAAATACCACAAAACTTTTGAAGGTACGTTTTTGGTATTCTTCTTCCAACGAGAAATGCCACAAGTTTGACATTGAGAAGCATCTTTATGTTCTTTCCAGAATAGAACACAATCATTTTCACATGCATGAATCTTCTCATATTGTAGACCTGCTCCTTTTAGCAACTTCTTGGACTCATATATCGAACTAGGGATGTTATTGTTTGATGGTAAGATATCTTTTAGGACAGAAAACAAAGCATCAAAACTAGCATCGGACCATCCAAACTGACCCTTCAAATGTTGGAATTTCAATAATCCACTAAGTGCATTATACTTTGACCCTACATAAAGTGGCTTATCACATTCTTCAAGAAGTGATTTCAACGAATCGGGTTCTTCGTCTACATATTTGAAGGCATCATGTAGCATATCCTTTGTATAAATAGCATTAGGAGGAATGGAATAGTTAGGGCATCTAGAATCACTCTTGGGTTGTTTTTCTCCATGGAAAGACCAAATCTTATAATTCTCATCGAAGCCGTGGTTAAACAAATGATAACAGACATTGTCAATTGAGTGGTGACACAAATTGATGCAATTTACACAAGGTCATGGAATAACATCTAACTTTGGATTATTACTTTGTGCAAACTCTAGAAAAGCATTCACACCTTCATCATATGCATTTGATAATCTACTAGAGGAAATCCATGATTTATCCATTACACATTTGTTTCCAACCTACATAATTATTTACCAGTTAAAGCAACAATGATTACGCATGTTTAGGGACAAAAACTGTGCAAAAACAAAACTGTACAGGGACAAAAAAACTGTACAGGGGACAATCTTGACAAAAAAAATTGTTCAGGGCCCAAAACTTTACAAGGACAAAAAATTGTACAGGGCCAATCTTGACAAAAAAAACTGTTCAGGGGCCAATCAGATGTCAAATACATGTTCAGGGGCCAATCCTTTACAAAAAAAACTGTACTTTTTCAGCATCCATGTATTTTTATTTATTTATTTATTTAGTAAATTACTTTTTCAGCATGTTATTAGTATAAATCATTGTTTTCTTTTTATTGTAGTTCAGGATTACATGTTGTTTATATTACTTTTTCAGCATGTTATTAGGGGTAGTTTAGTCTTTTGTTTATACTATTAAAAATTTTTCAGCATGTTATTAGGGGTAGTTTAGTCTTTTACAGAAAGATATATTAACAAATGTTAGTAAAGGAAAATTAAAAAATAGAGCACTCCATTGACTACCAATGGAAAGACTTCTACTTCTACTGCTAACCCCATCAAGATAGTCAAAAGGGATGCCAACTCATTGAGACTTGTGAGTACCAGATTTCTTATTGTAACATCTGTTTGCATATTAATTTCTTGATTCTTTTTTCAAATTTTGATTTTGATCTCTATTTTCTCTTACAGTGTTTACAGAAACAAATACCATATTCAGATTCCCTTACCTCCCAAGATTGACCACAGTGTAACAATGATGACAGTGGAAGACAAGCCAGATGTCACATACAATGATGGTGGTGGATGTAAAAAACAAATTGAGAAAATGAGAGAGGTGTGTTATGTTTATAATTATTTATAGTATACATTCCCATTATAAATATTAAATACAAACCAAAAATCTTTACTTTAATAATTTATGATTTGTAGGTTGTTGAACTACCCATGCTCCACCCCGAGAAATTTGTAAAACTTGGAATTGACCCTCCAAAAGGTGTCCTCTGCTATGGCCCACCTGGAACTGGAAAAACACTTTTGGCAAGAGCAGTTGCTAATAGAACTGATGCATGTTTTATTCGTGTAATTGGAAGTGAACTTGTTCAAAAGTATGTTGGTGAAGGTGCTCGCATGGTTCGCGAATTATTTCAGGTTTACATTTATGGTCCCTATACTTTTCAAATTTGTTACCAAACACAACCTTTTTTAATTAACTCTTGTGATTTGACAGATGGCAAGATCCAAAAAGCCAGATGCAATTGGTGGTGCTAGATTTGATGATGGGGAATCAGCTCGATGGATTTGATGCTCGTGGTAACATCAAAGTTATCATGGCCACAAATACGTATATAGTCGATATTTACAGTTTACACCCTGTAAATTTGTTTTTCCTCATATTTGGTTGGATACTTTCAGACCTGATACAACACTTTTGCGACCTGGGAGACTGGATAGGAAAGTGGAGTTTGGGCTTCCGAATATGGAAAGTAGGACACGGATTTTCAAGATTCATACACGGACTATGAACTGTGAAAGGGATGTTCGGTTTGAGCTTTTGGCTCGTCTTTGCCCGAATTCTACGGGTATGTTTTGTTTTTTTTTTCTTTTGGGGGTGATTTGAGTTAATTAATTAAAGTTGAGGGATTGGTTTTGTGATTTAGGTGCTGATATAAGGAGTGTGTGTACTGAGGCTGGAATGTATGCAATTACATGCTGTACAACTGATTTGGCTGCTGGAAACCAAAGACATGGACATGGGATTGTTATATGTTTTTTAAGGTTGTTGATATGTTGGATTGTCTCTTGTGTTTTTCATATTGCCTATGTTATGGTTAGTTGAACATTTTTCTTAAGGCAAGATGGGAACGAACAAATTACAAACTGTTGATTAATGTTATATTTGTGTTTTGTGTTTTGCTTGTGTTCTTAGTGAATTTTGTCTTGATAGATATTCATATACCCCTTTGATTGCTTGAAATCTAAATGGCTAATTTTTTTTCCTTGATTAAAGATAAATAAAGTTAGATATGTAAATAAGACTTGTATTCACAAAAGAGACTGTTAAGTTAAAAAATCAAAGGTTATTACAATAGTAGCTATATGTTATTACATTGTGATTATTACAATTGTTGTACAAGATTATGTTTATTGTTGTACTCTGTTTCAGGAATTGTTAGTCAAAGCCAGTTGCAAGTATCTCTCTCTCCCCCCTTTTTATCCATGTTATAAAATTTATTGTTATTACTCTTATTATTATTATTATTATTATTATTATTATTATTATTATTATTATTATTAATATTAAATTTAACATGTTTTAATGGGTATTAATGTTATTAAAATAGTATGTCCCAAGGGATACTAGTGGGAAGGGTAGAAGCGGTAAAGAAAAGTCAATATATATATATATATATATATATATATATATATATATATATATATATATATATATATATATATAGGGAAGGGTTATTTGGAAAACAAAAAACCCTAAAAAAACCGTAAAAATCATAAAAATGAATAAAAAAATACCTAGAGATCACAAAACTTTTTTTTTGACATTTTTTATGAAAAAATCGCAGGTTTTTAAAGAAATTCGCTGAAAAAAATTTTGAAAAAAAAATTTATTAAAAAAAACTGATTTTTTTTTAGCGAATTTTAATAAAAAAATACGATTTTTTATAAGAAAAATTCAAAAAAAAGTTTTGTGATCTCTAAGTATTTTTTTATGCATTTTTATAATTTTAGTTTTTAGGGTTTTTTGTTTTCCATAGAACCTAAACCTATATATATATATATATATATATATATATATATATATATATATATATATATATATATATATATATATATATATATATATATATATATATATATATCATAAGTTTTAATTTTACAACTTTTACTTACTTGGATTGTTATTTGTGGTGTTAAAGCTATGTTGATTTAGTGATAAGTAATGATACTAAATCATTTGTCCAGTGGAGTCCCTATTGTAATAAGCAATGACACCCTAGCTAGGCTTACTAAAACGGTTATGGCTTTAAAAGAAGATAAGAAACAGAGGTTAAAGAATGTATGGCATTTTCCAACTCCTTATGTCTCCTAAAATCATATTATGACATGTTTTGCAGCTTCAAGAGTTAGCAACTCATTCAGATTGTTTATTAAGTATAGAAAAGAAACAAAACTTATTTATACAACACTTTATCCAGATAGACATCATTACCCATTCAGCCATACAGAAGTTAACAGGGAAAAAAAACCTTGGTGGAAAGTGGTACTACTGGCTTTTTGGGACAGGTAACTGCAGTTAAGCTTTTTCTTCAGTTTTTTAAAATTTAAAGCTTTGATTTGCTCCCAAAGTTGCCACTTGTCTCTAGTTCATTTCTTCTCTCTCTTTTAATATGTCAATAACCCTTATAGTGTGGTTCTGTTTCTTTTCAATTTGCCACTTTACTTCATACCACACTTTCTTGTTTTGATCATTGCATCTTTTCTGTTTCTCTATGTGTACATCATCTAATACTCATGAAGCTTCTTGTTATTTTATCCACAATGATTTTAGCTTATGGCTAGGTTAGCTGGCTTAGTCTATGACTCTATGTTGAATATTGGCTAAAAATCAACTAATATTGGCTGTAAATTAGCTAATATCATTCTTGCTATGAAGTTTGGTAGAAAGCAAAGAAACTTTACTTAAACAATTTCAATCATATATGCACAAATGTAATGTGTCTTTTGATGTCTTTATCTTTTAATGGAAGCATACCTTAGACATCTTAAAAGAAACTGGCATAACCAACTGTACTAAATTTATAGTCAGTAAAATGGATTCAAATGGAAAGCTTCTTTCAGATTGAGTGAGCCCTTATCAACCCCATGTAAATCTCATAGGCTTGTTTAGTGTATTGTATTGTTACTGTAAAAAATGTTCATGGTTTATAAAAAAATATTTTCTTTATAGATAGAAGCATGCGAAAAAAATTTTGCCATATTTTTTTTTATGTTTCTTCAATTGGTTGTGACAGAGTAGGTTGGAATTGAAACCTGATGACTTGTTTTTAGCAGCTTTTTTGGTGGAGAAACACTAAAGTTAGTTTTATTTTTAATTTTTCTTGCAAAATGGAAGTTTACACAAGACGAAACCATGAAAAGAGCAGCTATAATCGACAATCGGAGGAGAAAACCCAACTAAGTGCAAGCATATACATGAGGAGAAAACCTAACTAAGAGCATCGGTTTTCTTGAAATGTTACCTGGTGTTCAACTTGAGAAGCTTCAGAAGGTGAGAAACCCTTGAATGTGTTCATTTTATCATCGATTTCATGGATACCAGGCGCCTCTTCCCCTCATTCTGCTCTTGCTCTTCTGTCACTTGGTTCTAGCAAATAGAGATGAAAGTTAGTTCTCTGGCTAATAGGGGAAGTTTCAGCAGGAACACCAAGCTCAAGTGACTTCTCCAATACCTTAATCGGACCTAGGGCACGTAAGATTGAATAGTCTCCAACGATGGCAGGAGAGCCCAAGCTCGTCGGCGATGCGAAGTCAGCCGGAAGAGAAGGAACCTAACGTCATCGGAGGGGACGTTATCTGCAAGGCGAGTCGACAATCGATCGATTGTAGAGAGTGTGTTGAGTGATGATCAGTAGTGAGTGTTTTGATCTTTGTTGAAAACCCCTATATATTTTAGCAGATACCTCGATTTTTGAAACAAGAGCTCGTCTCATTAAAATTAAAAGGCAACGGTTATAGAGGACACACGTTTTAATGTAAAGCGCCCTCCGTGTTTTTGATTTTTTTTCTTTAAACACTAATCTAAGGGCACGCAATAATGAGTGACCTAAATGCTTAAATTTTTTGAAGAGAGGACACCATTTTAAGGGCACTCCCTTTTACGTAACATAAATCACCGAGTGTCGTGGATTGTGCGTCGTAAAAGGATATTTTTCTAGTAGTGCTCGACCCTAAGCTCATATCTGGTTTGCTCCAAGGTTTGTTGGCTATAACACAGAGCAGTATAACCTCAAACCAACCTATACAATATGTCGAAATATAACAGATAATATCATATACAGATAAATAGATAGTATCACAGGTAGTCCTACATATCTACTAGACTAGCATATCAAAACTAGCATGCAATTCTATTCCATACTCAACATATCAACAATTGTAGGTTATCAAACCTATGGGCCGGCCTTGGTTCCTTTGACCCGAAAGTATAGTAAGGAACACTCACCTCACAAGTTGAACAGAACTGATGAGGCCCGAATCCGAATCTCAGCTCTCTACTCAATGCCTACATCCACCAAGTGACCAATTCCATCAAAATCCCAATAATACCCAAAATACCCTCAAAAGTCAAACTTGGTCACACATTATCAAACTTAAAGTTAACTAGTTAAAGTTAATGAACCCACTGAGTCAACCCAACCGAGTTAACTCAACATGGGTTGTCCCATGCGAGTACGCGGGGCGTACTCTAGACGTACGTTGAGCGTACAAGAAACCTCACTTGACCAGCTTACAGGGTGGCTGACCGAGTACACGGGGTGTACTCCCACCTACGTTGGGCTTAACTTCGCATTACTCAAATCTTTATTAAGTTATTAATGGTTAAGCACTTAAGTCCATATTCTAGATCTACGGTCCAAATGTACTCTAAAGTCATAAAGTCCTTAATGCAAGCTCTTAATCCATTAATACCTTATACAAGAAACATGGAGCCAAACTAGCTAGAGGGACATCGTTTTTATGGCTTAGGACCCTTCCTAGGGTCTAAAAAGACAGCCCAAATCGTCCAAAACCAAACATGCATAAGAATGGAACTTTTGAGACAAGAACAACACATAAAGCTACCAAAATGAGATCCAAGAAAACAAATCATCAAGGTGAAGACTTTTTACCTTCTGGAGCTTCCCAAGAAGGTAGTGATCCAAGATCCAAAAGCTTGTTTCCACTTCTAAGCTCCTTGATGTATCTCCTTCTACTGAAGAACAGGGTGTTACAACTCTCCCCCACTTGAACTAGACTTCGTCCTCGAAGTCTACTGCAGAGGACAAATCCGGATAATACTCCCACATCGCAGCCTCCGGCTCCCAGGTCCACTCAGAGCCCCTCTGGTGCTGCAATCGTACCTTTACCAAAGGTACTTCCTTTTTTTGCAAAACCTTTAACTTCCTTTCCAGAATAGTTGTTGGCCTCTCAACATAGTTCAGTCGCTTATCAACCTAAATATCATCCAAAGAAACCACTGCATCCTTATCCAATACGCACTTTCGCACCTGCGAAACATGGAAAGTGTTGTGAATCTGACTGAGCTCCTCATGAAGATCCAATCTGTAAGCAACTTTCCCAACCCTGGGAATAACCTGAAATGGCCCAATACATCGGGGACCCAATTTTCCCCTCTTCCTGAAGCGAATCACACCTTTCCCAGGTGAGACTTTCAATAACACAATGTCGCCGAACTGAAATTCCAAGTCGGATCAGCGTCGGTCGGCATAGCTCGTCTGCCGACTCTCAGCAGCCTGCAATCTCTGCCTGATCTACTGAATCATCTTTGTAGTCTGAAGGAACACCTTGGTCCGCCCCATGACCCTGTGACCAACCTCACCCCAGCAAACCGGGGTACGACATCTCCGCCCATATAAGAGCTCAAAAGCAAAACACCAATGCTGGAGTGGAAACTCTTGTTATAAGAGAACACCGCAAGAGGTAGGTAGGAGTCCCAGCTCCCACCAAAATCGATGACACAGGCCCACAACATATCCTCAAGGGTCTGTATCATCCGCTCAATCTAGTCGTCGGTATGTGGATGATAAGTTGTGCTGAAGTGCAACCTCGTGCCCAGTTCCTCATGGAACTTCTACCAAAAACGGGAGGTGAACCAAACATCATGATCTGAAACAATGGAGACCGGAACCCCAGGGCGAGCAATGATCTCACGAATATACACATCGGCCAACTTCTCAGCCGAAGAACTCTCCCGAATCGCTAGGTAGTGGGCACTCTTGGTCAATCGATCCACGATGACCCAAATAGCATCGATGCCCTTAGTCGTCTTCGACAACTTGGTGATAAAATCCATCGAAATATGCTCCCATTTCCACATGGGAACCTCCAGGGGCTGCAACTTGCCATGCGGCCTCTGATGCTCAGCCTTGACCATCCTACAGGTCATGCACCTCTCCACATACCAGGAGATCTCCCTCTTCATACACGGTCACCAATAGCTCAATCTCAGATCCTGATACATCTTGGTGGCCCCCGGATGGATAGAAAAACTAGACTTATGAGCCTCCTCCAACACAATCTGTCTGACCCCACCTGTAGTGGTGTTGATTATGATGACAAATGCGGAATTTGAAAGATCTAGTGAATCATCATACAAATCATGAACACATGGAGTAAATAAATTTGGGTTTAAGCTCTCATTAGTTTTTTGATAGAAAGAGTACAAATGGGTTTGCTATTTCTCCCTCTCAAACTAACACTCCAAAATGATCATTACATAATGGGAGTCACTCACTTCCTAATTATAGGAAAGACTCAACCCATTTACACATACAAGAGGGTAAGTGTGACAACCGTCAATTTTGGCCAAACAAACTCAAAAAGAGTCAATCAGATCAACTCAACTTGTATTAGAATTTTAGGTGAATCGGGATATTCCCTAATGCTTCCAGTGTACGATTGACAAATTATAATACAAAGTACCTCTCTTCTTGGAAAATATTCGAATATAGACCCTAAATAAGGTTAGTATCGTAACAAATCAGTAATTCAATTTTGTATTATTTTAGTGTAAATAATATTCATAACTCAATGTGGTAGAGTTAATAAACCTTATGCTACATGGCAAATTCAACAAATGCTACAAATATGGATTTTTAGTGAATTCGTCACCGAATACGACAAATTCCATACCCGGCCTAAAACGCCCAACTTTTAACGGAAATAATTTAGAAATCAACCTAATTTTCGTGTAACGTATTATTATTTTTAATAATAATGATTTTATTAACAATTTGAAATTTTTATAATTCAAATTAAATATTTATACATCATTTATACCATATTTTCTTTATAAAAATACCACACTTT